GGAGCATTTATCCCAGAGATAAATTTATTCCTATTGTGTGTATTCTTATACAGCAGCTTTATTCATAACCCCAAACTGGAAACAACTAAGTGTCCTTTGACAGGTGAATGGCTACCCAACGACGGTACATCTGTATCGTGATGAACTGCTACTATTTGGCAATAAACGTGAATGAGCTATTGATGCATATGATTTGGATAAATCACCAGAGAATTATGCCGAGTGAAAAGATTACATACTTCTTACAACGGCAAAATTACAGAAATAAAGAATGGATTAGTGGTTTCTAGGAGTTAAGAATAGAGGTGAGAGTAAGGGTTAAAAGGAAAATGGGTGTGGCTATAAAGAAACCAAAGGAAGGATCTTTGTGGTGATGGAAATATCCTATATAACCCTATCGGTGTCAACAGTAGGTTGTAATATTGTACTGTTTTTCAAGACGTTAGCCTTGACGGAACTGGGTAAAGCGTACACGATATCTCTTCCTATTATCTTACAACCACATACGAATCTCTAGTCATCTTAAAATTAAAAGTTTAATCATAGATTTGTTTGCTTGGAAGGTTCACAAGTAAACAAAGAAAAACATTTTAAAAAAATTAAAAAAATTTTTGTGACTAGGCAATAGTGGCTCAGGCCTATAAACCTAGCACTTTTGAAGGCCAAAATGGGAGGATTGCTTGAATCTAGGAGTTCAATACCAGCCTGGGCAACATAGTGAGGCTCCATCTCAACAGAAAACTTTAAAATTAGCCACAAGTGGTGGCCACACACCTGTAATCTTAGCTACTGGGAAAACTGATGTGGGAGGATGACTTGAGCCCAGGAGGCTGGAGGTTGCAGTGAGTTATGATTTCGACATTGTGCTCCAGCCTGGGTGACAGAGAAAGATCGATCCTATCTTTAAACGTTTTTGAAAAATTGTAATGCAGAGACTTAGTAGTCAAATCCCATGCCATGATTTAAAACTGACATATACGTAATGCTTGAAATAAAGAGCCCAAAAGCACAGATGACAGATAGTTGAGAGATGACTACTATACAATATTTAGCTCTGAGTCTAATCAATAAGCTTATACTTAAGCAGGTTATATAACATACAATCCATATTCCATAGCCTCCTACTCTACCTGAAAATGTGTCCATAGTTCTGTCTCTAGCAAATTTGTTCTGTTTGTAGTGACAAAAATGTGTCCATGTTCATAAAAATGAAACCTGAACAGAAATTTAATTTACTAGAAATTCAACCCTTTCTCCAATTTTTTTCATTTAAAACATTACGGTAGGCTTGGCACCTGTAGTTCAGCGGCTAGGGCACTGGCCACATACACTGGGGCTGGTGGGTTCAAACCTGGCCCAGGCCTGCCAAACTATGACAACTACAACAACAACAACAAAATAGCCAAGCATTGCAGCAGGCTCCTATAGTCCCAGCTGCTTGGGAGGCTGAGGCAATAGAATCACTTAAGCCCAAGAGTGTGAGGTTGCTGTGAGCTGTGATACCACGGCACTCTCCTGAGGGCAACATAGTGAAACTCTGTCTCAAAAAAAAAATTGTGGTAAATTACACATAACATAAAATTTTCCATCTTAACCATCTTCAAGTGTACTGTTCAGTACTGTTAAGAACATTGCATTGGCTGAGTACAGTGGTTTGTGCCTGTAATCCCAGCACTCTGGGAGACCAGGACAGGTGGATTGCTTGAGCTCAGGAGTTCAAGACCAGCCTGAGCAACAGCAAGACCCTGTCTCTACTGAAAATAGAAAAAACTAGCCGGGGATTGTGGTGGGCACCTGTAGTCCTAGTTACTCGGGAGGCTGAGGCAAGGGAATCTCGCCTTGAGGTTGCTCTGAGCTAGGACACCAGGGCACTCTACCCAGGGTGACAGAGTGAGACTCTGTCTCAAAAAAAAAGAAAAAAATTAAAAACACCTCTCCATTTACCCTCTACCCGGCCCCTGGCAACCAACCATTCTATTTCCAATCTCTGTCAATCTGACTGCTCTATGGACCTCAAATAAGTGCACCTCACATGCAATATCTGCCTTCTTGCCACTGGCTTCTCTTGTTTCGTGTCATGACCTCCAGCTTGGGCCATGTTGTAGGATGTGTCAGAATTTCCTTTCTTTCTAAGACTCAAAAACATTCCCTTGTATGGCTGTGCCATGTTTGTTTATCCATTCGGTGCCTTCTACATTTCTTTTCTTCTTTCTGTTGATACATAATATTTGTACATATTTATGAGGCACATGTGATATTTTGTTGCATGGATAGAATGTGTTTCTCCATGTCTTTTTAAAGTTGTAATTGAAATGCCTAAGTAAATTTGTGAATAAATAAAGGCTAAGAAACAAAACAAAACGCTTAGATGCTAATAAAATTCTGTGGTATCATGATGTTGGCCTGCCTGTCACGGATGTGCTAATTTGGGAAATAAAATGGCCACCACTTGAGGAAAGACCAGTGTTTGTGGGGTGGGGTGAGAAGCGTGAAAGAGAGAGAGACATAAAAGTGACAGAGGAAGTGATGCTGGCTACTGAGAGAGAGAATTCCAGAAGAAGAAACGGTCTGGGGGAAGACAGAGGCCTGTGCAGATGAGGTACCCCTAAGAAATTCAAGTCTCCAGGCATGGCCCTTGTAGACCTGAACATGTGTGTAGCTGAGGAGCAGGATCTGAGCTTCAGATGGAGTCACTGGCATAAAGCTGGTTGTTGAAACCATGACAGCAGAGTGGTCAGAGCTGGAGATTATGAGCTCAGGGTCAAAGTCAGAGAGGAAGATGCAACAGCAACAGAACTGTGAGATGTCAGCTCCATTTGAAATGATGTCGACCACTGGCTTCATGGTAGGAAGGAAAGCAGACAGAAGTGCAAAGAGAATAGATTTCTTCCTGCCAAGAACTTGGATAAAAAGAGAATAGCTAAGAAGTGTGCCAGCTTCCTGGAGGTTTTGATTTGTTTTGCTTTCCTCTGCTTTTTAAGATAAGCTCTTTGGGGGAGTTTATAAGCTGGGCTAAGGACTCTGCCTAGTGGGTTGAAATGCCTGATAAGGCAAGAGCTAAGGAGTGGGAGGAAGGAGAACTCCAGGTGGGTGGATAAGAGGTTTTAGGGCAACAGGGTATTGCCATTTAAGGTATTGGAGGTAGGCCTGGGTCATTAATGCAAATAGGGAGTCAACCCCCACACAGGGGGAATGCACCCCCTCAACCTTGAGACTGGAGTCCAGGCATGAGAGGCTGGACTGTGGTGGGGGTCAAATTTGTAAGTTTGAAGATGGAAAGTTAAAGAAATTACTAGTTTACACCCTCTTTGGAAAGAAGTGTGAAGAATCCTCCAAGAACTCAAAATAGAACTTTCATTTGATCCCACAATCCCATTACTAGGCATCGACCCAGAAGAAAAAAAAATCATTTTATCATAAAGACATTTGCTCTAGACTGTTTATTGCAGCTCAATTTACAATCACCAAGATGTGGAAACAACCTAAATGCCCATCAGCCCAGTAATGGATTAATAAATCGTGGCATATGCATACCATGGAATACCATCCAGCCATAAAAAAAGATGGCGACTTTATATCTTTTGTATTTACCTGGATGGAGTTGAAACGCATTCTTCTTAGTAAAGTATCACAAGAATGGAAAAGCAAGTATCCAATGTACTCAGTACACCAGCAGCTCTGGAGGCCAAGGCAGGAGGAGGATCTCTTGGGCCCAGGTGCTAAAGGGTTTCAGTGAGCTATAATGGTGCTACTCTAGCCTGGGCAAAAGAGTGAAACCCTGTCTTAAAACAGAAACGAAACAGTTGAGAGCAGGAAAGCCTGTGGGCAAATGGACATGCATGAGGTCCCTCTCATCCTTGGAGACTCCTGACAGTTGGGGGTCTGCGGCTAGAATACACCGTGGAGCCCTGCTGGGCCTTTCTTTCCCCTGGGCTCTGCTGCTGAGCTCTGCAGGTTAGCCTCATTTTGCAATAGAAATGAAACGTGGTTGCAGGGGCCTGACCCTCAACCAGGGATTTGGATGGTCGCCAAATAAGGGAATCACAGCTTCCGTTCCCCACTCCATGCATCCCATCACCGCAGGCTCCCCACCTCTAATCCAGGGTCTGAGTTGTGTGGGATTTTGTCCCTCCATCCTCTCCTTCCCCTCTCCAGCCGTTTTGGTGAACCAGTCTCTCATTACGCCCCCAGTTTTGGAAAGACTAGAAGGCCTAAACAGGTCTGAGGATCCTTCCGAGGAGAACCAGGCATGTCGCTTCACAGCTACAGCCCACCGGCCTCTGGAAGCTTGGAGCGGGCGGAACGCGCAGTGCGCAGCCAACGCGGCAGGTGGCGGCGTCTCCCCGCGCCCGGCCTGCCCCCAGACGCTAAGCGCCAGCCCTCTGCGGTGCGGTGGGGAAAGCGCCCTGGCTACATCCCGGGCTGGGCACTGGAGGGAGCTCAGCGGCAGGAGTGGCGGCTGTCTCCCGGGTAAAGGGCAACGCCGGAGAGGCGCGCGCCGCTTGGGTGCCAGGGGCCCACTCCATCCTCTGGGAACCCGCCGCCCAGCCCCTGAGGGTGCGGCGGCGTCTGACGGCCCGGCTGGAGCAGAGGGGGAGCTGCGGGGCTGGGAGGAGCCGCGGGGACAGGTGTGGGCAGAACCGGGCGGGACAGGGCGGCCGCCTTAGCGAGCCTGCCCTGGCACACCCTGGACTCTCCCCTCCGTCTGGACAGCGGCGGGTCCCGGGAGGCTGCATGGGGCTTCTGCGTGGTCCGCTCTTCTGGCTGCTGCTCCTGCTCGCGGCTGCCTGCTCCGGGATCCTCTTCGCCCTGTACTCCTCGGCAGTGGAGCGGTCCCTGGAGCCCCATTCCGGAGTCAGGTAGGGGTTGCTGCGCGCTGACCCGGAGGGCGCAGGGAAGGCTCCCAGCCCAGAGCTCCCGGGCCGCCCGCAGCCTTCAACCTCGCTCTGCATCCACCCTTCTGGGGTGGCTCTCAGCGGGGACTTGCGTGCGGCTCTTTGTCCCCAGAACCCCCGCCCAGGTTAACTTCGAGCTGCCGGGACCCTACCGCCCCTGCCTGGGTATAAGAGGGACCTCGCCCCCTGAGCGCTGGCGACCCGCCCCGGACTCCTTGGTTGATCAGTTCCCTTGGGGCCTGATTTGAATCACTTTCTATTGTTGAAAGTTGGCAGGATCTCCTAAGTCAGATAAAAAGTTCCTTTTATGTCAAGAACTGCCCCTTGTTAACTTCAAAAAAAAATTCTTTCTTAGGTTCTACCTCTTGGGCAGGGACCCAGGTCCTTCAGTCTTCAACTTTACTGGGATCCTCAGCCCGGCCGTGGCCTGTCCCCTTTTCCACTCTGCCCTGGTCCACTTCCCACGCCTGGCGCCCTTCTCTCCAGGCCGGGGTTTGCCCTGTTTATTTTGATAGTGTAGTCTGGGCGCGATCTGGTGGGCTCCCTGAGGAAGAGGGGACGTGTCTGATTCCACCCAAGTTCCCCCCTCCCGTCCACTCCTGAGCTGCGCTCCGCCTGCTCGTTTCTGGGTATCCGGCTCTCTCCTGAGGGCCCGCCTGTGGCAGGAGCTGGTTCCAGTCACAGAAGAGGCCTCACAACGGTTTAGCACCGGCCAGAGCACCGAAGGGTGAGCAGGAAAGGTCCCCACAGCCTCTTGCAGAGGACCTCTGGGCCCAGCCTTTTCCTTCCTGCCGCTCTCCTCCCCAAACCTTGCTGGAAGCATGAGATAAAAACAGCTTTGTCTGCTCCCAGGAGATAAAGTGACACCTGAGGCTACTAAACTCCTTGCAGTCAGAACTTGTATAATTGTATAATAAGGACCTGAAGGCTTATAAAGAAAGGGGATCCTTGTCAATTTTATCTTTAAAAACACAAAGAATCCCCATGACTGCATTAATGTACACAGCTATGATTTAATTTAAAAACACACACACACAAAGAATCCCACCTTGAAGAAATGCTAAGTTATTGAGGTGATCAGTATGCTAATTAGCCTGATTAGATCATTATACGTTGTAAACACATACTGAAACATCACACTATATCCCATAAATATGCACAATTATTATGGGTCATTTAAAATAATTATTTTTTAAAAGAAGAGAGGCCAGGCACAGTGGCTCATGCCATTAATCCCAACACCTTGTGAGGCAGAGTCAGGAGGATCAATTGCACCCAGGAGTTGGGAACACCCCCCCTCACCCAAAAAAGTTTATAGGCTGGGTAGGGGGGAGGAGGAGGAGGATCTCAAGCCTGTAATACTAGCACTCTGAGAGACTGAGGCCAGGTGGGTAGATTGCTTGAGCTCAGGAGTTCAAGACCAGCCTGAGCAAGAGCAAGACCCCCCCCCATCTCTAAAATATACCCGGGCTTAGTGGTAGGTGCCTATAGTCCCAGCTACTCAGGATGATGAGGCAGGAGGATCACTTGAGCCCAAGAGTTTGAGGTTGCTGTGAACTATGACACTTTGGCACTCTACCAAGGGTGACAAAGTAAGACTCTGTGTCAAAAAAAAAAAAAAAAAATTAAACAATTAACCAGGTGTGGTGCACCTGTAGTCTTAGCTACTTGAAAGGTTAAGGCAGAAGATCACTTGAAGCTGGGAGTTCAAGGCTGCAGTTACCTATGATCCAGCCACTGCATTGCAGCCCTGGGTGACAGAGCTCTACAGCGTCTACAAAAAAGGAAGAGGAAGAGAGACCATGAAATAGCATTCTTATCACCCCCGGCCATATGTCGCCCTCAGAACTCTGCCTCAGTCCCCGCCTCAGAACTCTGTACAAAGTCCCCACTAGCAAGAAGGCTCTCTCTAAGATGTGGCCCCTCACCCTGGACTTCTCAGCTTTCATAACCGTAAGAAATAAATTGATTTTTCCATAATTTTTTTAAAGCCCACAAAGTAAACATTCTTTTTAAATTCTTTTTAGAAACAGAGTCTCATTCTGTCAACCTCAGTGGAGTGCTGTGGCATCACAGCTCACAGCAACCTCCAGCTCTTGGGCTTAGGTAATTCTCTTGCCTCAACCTCCCAAGTAGCTGGGACTACAGGTGCCCACCACAACACCCAGTTATTTTTCTTTGTTGCAGTTTGGCTGGGGCCGGTGCCCTACTGAGAGCCACAGGTGCCGCCCAAAGTAAACATTCTTTAAAAGTACTTAATACAACTTTAAATGTGAGGTTTATTGTATTTGTATGTCCATTTATACCTTAACAAAGCTTTTTTTTTATTAAAACAAAAAGATCTTTCATCTTTTCAAAACTTACTATGACACGAGACCTTGGCTGTTTCTTGCTGTTTCCATCCAGGTGTTTGCCCTGTAGCTTACATGCAGGGGTAGGTCGGACTCAGTCCTCACTGTAGGAGGTGACATTAGTGGGGAAAGGGATGCCATTCTGCGATTCTTTGCAGGGCTAACAGGCTGTGTGAGCTTCGAAGGCTGAGGACTGCACACCTGGAAAGGTGGCTGGGACAGGGTCTACAGAGCTGGAGGAAGGGACTTCTTCTCTCACTCCAGCTTAGAGAGACGAGTCCAGTCTGGGAATTTACTCCTGGCAAGTCCAGATCAGTGGTTCCCAGATATGGGAGATCTCTAGAACTGTTTTTTTCAGAAAGAGGTTCTTCGTTTGTTTGTTTTGAGACAAAGTCTCACTATGTTGCCCTGGGTGGAGTGCCATGACATCACAGCTCACAGCAACCTCAAACTCTTGGGCTTAAGTGATTCTCTTGCCTCAGCCTCCCAAGTAGCTGGGACTACAAGTGCCCACCACAACGCCTGGCTATTTTTTGGTTATTGTTGTTGTTTCACTGTTGTTTGGCAGACCCAGGCTGGATTCAAACCCAGCAGCTCCGGTGTATGTGGCTGGCACCCTAGCTGCTGAGCGACAGGTACTGAGCCTCAAAAAGAGGTCTTAATACAGAAGGGTGCAAGTTACTATCTATTACCAACGCCATTTCATTTAGTTTTTAAAAGGGGGAACATTTTAGGCCCCCAAATTACTAGGAGTATGATATAAATTTAATTGAGTAAATTTAGTCTTATGAAAAATGCACAACAGTGTCCTTATTTCTTCTCAGGCTGATAAAACTTCCCAGAGGGGTGTGCGTGGACCCCTTCCCTACTCCTTTCCAGAACCCCAGACAGGTATCTGGGAACTTGGGATTCCTGAGAATGAGGGACTGGGGAGAAGTCGCCCAGCACAAGGGATGCTCTGAAGATGCATCAAGCTTCCCCGAGGCTGGAGGTTCAAGGCAGCAAAACCTGCCTTGAAGCTCTGCCTTGCTGCCTTGACTCTGCCCTGCTGGGTGGCCCCAAGCCCAGCTGTACAGTGGAATCACCTGGTTTGGGGGTGAGGGATGGGGATTGGATTCAATGATGGCCACACCTCACCCCAGGTCAATCAGATCTGAATCCCAGGGGTGGAGCCTGGGCATTTGTGTATTTCACATATCTCTGGGATTTCTCAGAGGCAACCTGGATGGGAGCAACACCTTCCTAGCCCCTTCTCAGAGGGAGTCATATTGGGCTCATGGGGAAGAACTACAGAATAATGTCGGTAGACAAGTGGCTTGTCCAAGGGGAAACGAGATCAACCTGCTCTTTCTAGGCCATTCCTCTAGGGTCTTATGGGCAACCTGAGAAACCAATGGCAGGCAGGTCACAGGCTCCCTGGGGGTTCAGCTGTCTCAGCACCTAGAAGCAAATAACAAGAGGCCTTTGTTTCCCTTGAAAACTGCTGCCCCAAAGCCCTCCTCCACTTGCTCCCTGAGGTTGCTGGGTGAGGCAGGGTTGGGAGAGCTGAGCTACCCTTCTGAGTGGGCAAAGGCTTCCATTTCTTTCTTCCTGCTTTCCCTTTGCCCTGATGCAGGGGCCCCCTAGTCCCTGGGAATTGGAGGTGGGGTAACATTAACCCCTAACTTCCCTGCAGAAGGGAGGCTGATAAAGGCTGACACAAGAGTCCTCTTTCGTCCTTTAGGTAACTAACAAAAGCTGACCTTTAGAGGACAGGTTTTATATTTGATAACACAGACTTTCTGTTTGAATACTCCCAACAATCAGATGTGCTGGATATGATTATCTCTGTTATACAGAGACAGGCCCAAGACCATGCACCTGCTGAGCAGTGGAGCCAGGATACAAGCCCAGGGAGGCAGGCTTCACAGCGTCTAGTCCATTTTGTTCCACCATGACAGAATACCTAAGACTTGGCCATTCTTAAAGAACAGAGATTTAGGCTCGGCACCTGTGGCTCAGGCACCAGCCACATACACCTAAGGTGGCCAGTTCAAATCCAGCCCGGGCCCACCAAACAACAATGATGGCTGCAACCAAAAAATAGCCAGGCATTGTGGCAGG